GAATCGTATTGCGTTGCCGAGGGTGGAGCGCGAGTTTGGGATTAGGTTGCCGCCGGAGAGGTATTGCTTTACGAGTGTGGGGTGGGGGGTTAAGGGGGCGTGGGAGGAGAGTGTTGAGGATGAGGGGCAGGATGAGGATATGGAGGTTGATGGGGACGGGGTTGGGTTTGCTGGTGGGCCTGTGGGCACGGTGAATGCGTCGAATGGGGTGGCGGCGGCGGAGACGGAGGCGAAGGATACGGATATGGGGGGTATGGAGGAGGATGAGGAGGTTGATGATGATGAGTTTGAGGAGGCTATGGGGATTAATCAGGAGAATAACGCCTAAATTGCTTGCTCGGGGCGAGAAGCAGTGGCACAAAGGGTGACTGGGCGGCGTTTGGCGGGACTTGAGCATTTGTAACGGCGTTATGGGTCAGAGTGGTATTTGAACGGGACTATACCAGAGAGCTGGATAAAAAGCTTTCGTTCCCGCGCATGAGCTGCGCTTCCTTCCTTTCTGAACGAAATGGCAGGAGAGTATTTACACGTTATAATACAATATACATCCGCTCCACCCTCCACCCTTCATCTTCAACAGCCCCCCTCATCTCGACCCATAGACCCCACCCCTAGTAACCCCCCTATCATCCACCCTATTCTCCTCTTTCCTCCTCAGCCCAGCCTCTGTGACCGTTTCCGCTTTCTTCCCCAGCGTACGCCCCGACTCATCCAAATTCCACCATTCTTTGTGTTTCTCTCGCGCATCTTCCAGCTTTCTTTGGTGGTCTATCCTTGCCTGCCTCCGCTCTTCAGCCAGCGCAAACCATTCTAAGCGTGCTTTGTCGAGCTCGTTCTGGTTTTGGTATTGCAGCATGCAACTGTTCATGGCGAGGCGGGGTTGGCGGCATGCGTAGATCATGGTGAAGGTGCGGCCGAGGGCGCATTGGGCGAATGCTGGGGGTGGTGTTAGACTTGGGGTTTGGGGTTGTTTGGGGAGGGAGGAGGAATTAGGGGTGTTTGGGGAGGGATTGGGGAATTGGGAGGGGAAGGTGGATTAGTGAATGGTGGATTGGTGGGTGGTGGAAACGTACTCTCAATCTCCTTTGCGCATTTCGCGCGCACATTCTTATAATATAAATCCTTGACTTGTTGTTCCTGGGGCGCGGATAGCGGTGTGGGGTTCGTGGGTGTGCGGTTCGTGCCGATTATCATGCGGTCTTCTGTGTTGGCCATCGTTTCGTTGGCTCGTAGTCTCGTTCTGGTTGATGATGGGCGCTGCCCAGGCGGTGGGGTTGGAGGTTGCAAGTCGAATGCGTGGCCGAATGGAGCTCGAGGTATCAGGTAGCGAGTGACGGTGTAGGAAATGTGTGGTTGGTGGACGTGGACGTGAGTGGGCGTCTTTGCGGACTCCCGGCGGTGCTGAGGTTCGAGATTGGATTGGAATGGCAAGATTGATGTTATTCGGAGTGGGGCATGTGCATGCGGTTCGGTGGTGAGTTGAGGATACGGAGCGGCGCATGTCGGAGGTTCTGGGCTTGGTTTGGCCGATCTGGGTGAGCCGAGGCAAGTGAGCTTGGGGAACGGCGTTCGTGGTTTGGACTTCACATGCGCTTTTAGTTGCGCCTTTACTTTACATCACGTAGACACGAGCACAGCCAGAGACTTGACAGCCGCAACATTATATTCGTCTATCTACCGACCCATCTACATCCCCACCCTCCCCCACAATGAAGATCGCAGACCGCACCTTCCTCATAAGCGGCGGCGTCTCAGGCCTCGGTCTCGCAACCGCGCGCGCCCTCCACGCCTCTGGCGCATACGTCTCACTGCTCGACCTCAACGCCTCCAACGGCTCCAAAATCGTGTCCGAACTGGGCTCCCGCGCAAAGTTCTTCGAAACCGATGTCACAGACACCGACGCCATCGCGTCCGCAGTCCGCAGCACAGTCGCGTGGGTCAAAGAAACAGGAAAAGACATTGGAGGCGTAGTAGCAGGAGCAGGAGTAGGAATGCCAGGCCTGATCATCGACAAGAAGAACGAGCCGCTTAGCATTGAGAGTATTGATTTCGTGCTCAATATAAATTTGAGGGGGACGTTGGATTTAGTTAGGCAGGTGGTGCCGCATATGACTACGACTACGCCTTCGAGTCCTGATGGGTCGCGCGGTGTGATTATCATGATTGCGTCGAGTGCGGCGTTTGATGGACAGATGGGCCAGGTTGCGTATGCGGCGTCGAAGGGTGCGGTTGCGAGTCTTACTCTGCCGCTTGCACGCGATCTGTCAAAGTATGGTATCCGTGCTGTGACGATTGCGCCGAGTATGTTCGATAGCGCGATGACGCGCATGATGAGCGACAAGGTGAAGAAGAGTCTGGAGAACAGTATGGAGTTCCCCAAGAGGGCGGGGCTGCCGGAGGAGTTTGCGAGGTTGGTGGTGGAGTGTGTGGGGAATGAGATGTTGAATGGGACGGTTTTGAGGCTGGATGGTGCGATGAGGATGCCGGCGAGGCTGTAGTTGTATTTATTTGGGTATATGGTTTAATGTGAGCTCAGCGCTTGCGCTCCCTGATCTTGAACTTTACGCCGTTCTTGTTGACTCCGCCGACGGTGTTGTTCATCTTTGCGCGCTGGAGTTCGAGTTCTTCTTCAGCGGCCATGAGTTCGCTCTCCCGCTTCTTGAGTGCGCGTAGTCTTGTTACGTGGCGCTCTTGTGCTCGCTCTCTTTCCTTGCGGAACTTTCGAGCTTCTCTCCGTGCTTGTTCTTGTGCCTCTATCTTCTTCTTCGATAATGTGTTCGGTCGCTGGATAGGCGTTTCGTCGTCGTCGTCTTCCGTCAGCTCGTCTTGTAGGTCTCCAAAGGTAGGCGACTCCTTGCGCGCAGGAATTTCTTCGCCGCGCCCAAACCAAGTGTCTGGTTCAAACTCCTCCTGTTCCTCTTCGTTGTCCACAAAGACTCTGTGCTTGCCCTGCTTCGTCCTCGCCGCATCCCTCACAGCACGCACCTCGCCCTGCTCCTCCATAACCAGCCGCTGCTCTACCTCCTCCCTCTCTTTGCGCGTCTGCTGCAGCATAGTGCGAATGTATCCCGCGTCCTGCGTCTTCAACAGCTTGACCACCTCCATGCTCAGCGCCTTGTTGCCTCGGTCCGCCACCCTCTTCCCCGACTTGTCCACCTTGGACGACATCATCTTGAAGGAGAACTCATCCGGATTGCGGTCCTGAGCCTTCTGCTTCAGAATCTTGAGTTTGGCCTGCTTCTGCTTGTGGTCGTGCGCGCGCAGCTTGTAGTCCTTGCGCTTTTCGAGGAGACCCCATTTCGCACGCTCTTCGGGTTGCGCGCGCTCCTTGTGGTTGCGCCGCTGAACGGCATTTCGCATGGACGACATTTTGGGTGGTAGGTCGTGTGGCGCGTTGGTTGTGTAGAGGTGTGGAATTGCTCGAGACTTTTCGGTGGGCCTCCGCTGCCAAGACTACGACCCACTTTACTCATCTGCTAGTCTGAATGCACATCTGCGTGCTGTTTCTCTCAAACATCGACACCTTTGGTGATTATTGATCAAATTCACCTTTCGTCGGGGCACTAATCTATCTAGAACGACAAGACACTCAATACACGTCATGTACCAGTGTAGAAAGTATCGCGGCCCTCATATTGTCCAGGCGTAATGATCTCCACGTGTTTACCGCATTCGATCTTGAAACACATCTTAGGAAACGTTCCGCACTTGCATTGCCTATCCAGGCTTATGCAATATGGATCTGTCCTTCCAATAGCGCCGGTTGGTGGAAGTACGGAGCGGAAAGTTTACCATATGGATTGTGCCCATGGAACAGCACACCTGGGCATCGTCGGCGATGATGTCCATCCTCAAATGCCGTCGGATCGGGTACTTACTGCCATCCGCCCCATCTGAGACGTTCTAGTACTCTTGGATGGGTGCTTCCGCTGATAGGAGCCGTTCACCGATGAACCACTGCCAATCATCGGTGAGCAACTTGATCGTGGTTCCTCGCGGGAGTCGCGGAAACGGGCCATCACCATAGAGACATGCAAGACCGGAAGTATGGATCCAGAGGTACCCATATGTAAGCCTAGGCCTTGTACTCTTCCACAAAATCTTGAGTCCCGCGAACGAAGATACGTGAGCGGTGAGAATGCGTTGACTCCTTTACGACGTGAAAGCACGACCAGCCAACAACACATCTTCGCCGAGGCGATCTGTTCTCCGAATGGAACGGAACATTTCGAAAGATATTCGATCGCATGCCACCCACCCAGAGATCGACTCCAGAGGTAATATTCCACAACATCCATAGCCCATCTCCCAACTGAAACGCCAAGTCATCACCAACCCTCCGCCCAGGAATCCTTCCAAACACCGCGGAAAATTCTCTACCGACATATGGCGCTGCACTAATGTACCCCAGGTCTTTCCCCAATATACAGCAACGCCAAAACACCGTCACCTGTGTCATAGATACTATTCTCCATCACACAACTACACATGCTCGACTCATGGCGTACGGAAAAACATGTCAACGAGAAATCCCGCGAATCACGAAAAGATCCAGGGCGTGTTTTGTTATGCAGTGTAGATCGAAATAGTGAGGTTTGTGGTGGTGGGCATGACCATTCTAACCACCGGTAAGGGTAACAGCAACCTCAGCCCCTAGCCAAGCACAACTTACCACGGCGGAAGACAATTCTCCACCATTCTCCACAAATACTACAGTGTCTTGGCTTGCCGGACGAGATCCACAATCTAGGGTCTCATCCACCCCGTAGCAATTTCACGACGTCCGTAGAGGGCTACATCGGTGTCTAGATCTGGTTGGCGATGCATGTATCGAGGAGAGGTGGGTATCGAACATGTGTATAAAGGCAATGGGGATTCCGAGTGGTAGACCAGCAGCTCACTCATCTCTTCTCTGAGTATTCAGCCCATCTGCAAAGTTTCAAAAGACGTAGCAGCTCTTCCACTTCGTTCTCCAACGTACGCACGAACTTCTTGCCATCATGTTGTCCCAAGTCGCACTCCTCTCCCTCGTCGCTAGTATGGCAGCTGCGCAGACCCTCAACATCCCCACTCGCTCCGGCAGCATCGTCTCGCTCCCCCAGCCCAGCACCATCACCGGCAGCGTCAACTTCGGTAACAAGGAGTTCGACCGCGGTCGGCCCTGCAACTCGGACGAGGACACTGGCAGCGACAGCGCCGTCTTTATCCTCCAGAACGGCGCGTCCATCTCCAACGTCATCATTGGCGCAAATGCGCTCGAGGGCGTGCACTGCTTGGGTATGTTTTATATTTGTGTTGTGATTCTGCAAGAAAGGTACTGATGTAAGAAGGCTCCTGCACCCTAACCAACGTTTGGTTCCGCGACGTCTGCGAAGACGCCATCTCCATCCTCGGCAGCGGCAACGCCCTCATCCAAGGCGGAGGCGCCGCTCAAGCCAGCGACAAAGTCATTCAGCACAAGTACGTCTCCCCCCTCCCTCCCTCTTCCCCTTCCCCACCCACTTCCCCCCACACCCCCACAACACGTACTAACACCCCTTCCAGCGGCGCCGGCACCGTAACAATCAAAAACTACACCATCGTCAACGCCGGAAAGCTCTACCGCTCCTGCGGCGACTGCACCGACAACTCCAAAAAGTCGCCCCGTAAAGTCATCGTCGAGAACGTCCGCGCTTTCGGGCTTACGTCTGATCTCATCGGCATCAACTCCAACTTCGGTGACACAGCCTCCATCAGTGGGTCGTGCGGGACGACGAAGAAGGTGTGCCAGGAGTACAAGGGCGTTAACAAGGGGAATGGGAGTAGCAGCAAGGTCAGCTCGACGAGTGCTTGCACGGGTAGTCAGGGGAAGTTGGAGAAGTTGCCGAGCTGTTAGATGGGTTGTGTGGGGTAGGGTGGTGGAGATGAGGGGAGGGGACATGTGAGAGAGGGGACTTGTATATATTGATCATTGAGAATGTCAATAGCTTTTTATGCGGGGATAAGGACTTGATGAATTTGATTGGTCTTTTGTACGCGATTTGGTCTTTCTTAAGACGATCTTCAGTGTATAGTACAGGCGTGTATCTGCATACTGCTCAAGCTCCTTCGTCCGCCTCGAGATACTTGTCCAAAGCTATCGTCGCCCGTGACCGAGCATCGGGTGTCTCCGCCGGGTGGTTAGGTAGAAGGAAAGTACGGGCCTCGTGATAGACCGGGAGTTTGTAGCCATGAACAGCCCCATAACCGTCGCCTACAATGCTCCTGTCCGTGGCAAAATATCTCACGAATACGTCCAGCCAGTGTGCGACATCCTTCGCGTTACGCAGTATGACATCAATGTGCTCGTCCTTGCTTTGCAGTTTTGAGATTTCAAAGCCAGAAGTGACGTATTTCTTTGGGAGGCTGATCGCGAGAGGTGGTGCCGCATGTTTCTGACGAAGCGAGCCAATGTAGCAACCAGTCGTCGTGTCCGGGCCCACGTCCAGATAGTTGAGGTTCGGACATTTCTGTAGACCTTTCGCGATCGAACGCCAGTTACTGTCGGTAAGGAATACGAAGTCGAGCTTGACGTGTTGTAGCGTTCCAGAATATCGCTTGATGAAGCCTCGAAGACGACTCCCACTCACATAGCTGTTGACTAGCTCTAAGTGCGTGAGATGTGCATACGTTGTCTTCGCAAAGAGGCTGACCCATGTGTCATCGCATTCTTGACACAATCGAAGTCGTGGTACATAGTCGCAACCGTGGAGTGTTATCTTGTCCAACTCGGAGAGCTTGGCGGCTAGGCTCGGTAGCAAGGGATTGTCGGACTCGTAGTCGTAGAAGGGATAACTATCCTCGTTTTGTTCCTTGAATTGTTTCGCGTATTCTAGATCCACGTCTCTGGAATTCGAATGTGCAGTGGCTAGGTACTTGATGTGTGATACCAGATGCGGCGACTCGGCTAATGGGACCAGTAAACGATCGACGGGGGGCTGTCGTAAAGTGTCCAGGTCAGGTACGACGTGTAGGATTTGGCGGGGAAATGACGCAAGGTTGAGTGCGTTAAGAACGGCGGGATATGTTCCCATTGTGTAGTGGTGGATTGCCTGCAATGAGGTGGAATTTGCTCAGTTCTTGAAGCTTTCCGTTAGGATATTGATTGCTTCGGGAGAATGCGCGAAGGCATCCACATGTTCGAGATAAGACCTGTAAACGTATTCCGCGTTGAAGCATTCTGTGACTGGTCCACTAAAGCCCATCGCAGATGGCCCATCGAATGTGATTTCGCGAAGTCGGTCTCGGAAATAAGGGACACTGCTGATCGAAAATAAGACCCCGAGGGACTTGGAGGAGGAAAGAACCACGATGAGGTTGTCTAACATTCTTCCGTAGACAACCCCAGTGTCGAATAGCGTTTTCTGGTAGACAGACTTGCAAGAAAGTCGGAGCGACTTGAGATCTTGAGGAAGCGGATGACTAACGGTAGAGCCACCTTCCGCGACGATGAAGCGACATATCCTGCTGAGGATCTCCGACGGTAGCGCAGACAGGGCCATGGCTGGGGATCTCCGGCGGCTCGGGTGAGGTATGCAAAGAGATGACGAGAGAGACCTGGCTGTAGACGATGTACATCCAAGAGCCAGTGCTGAACAAACTGCGTTGTTTTGTTGTGGGTGCGATCAGGCGGTCAAGTATCGACCTGAGGAGATAGCACTTGCCAAGCAGGCGGGTTATGAGCGAAATGTGTGCTCGATGCTTTACTGCGTACGTCACCGCTAGCACGGACCCAGTTCTTAACCGAAAGCATCGCTGCTTCGAGTGAAAGAGCTCAATGACAGAAAACTTGAGCAAGTTGCCAGCCTAGCACTTTGCTCTCGTACTTTGATGTACGATCGCAAACGTTTTGATGCCACTCACAATACTCCTACTTAGACATACCATCAACGAGCGTGAACACAAATGCAGACGCAGACACAACGCTTCCACCTCACCCATCATCACAGCCTCCCATCAAAATTCCCATACTCAGCAAGCTCCACCTCATTCAAATGACTCCTCGCCCTCATACTACTCCGCGCACTCTCCGTCGTCGCCAGGCTTTGACGCATGAGCACCGCTCTCTTCGGATCCATCTTCGCGTTCGGCGATGCAGGTTTAAAGACTCGATTGCTTTCATGTCCGTAGTACGAGTACCGTGCGGGTCGTTTTCCTTTGGCAGCAGATGAAACCCCCGTTGTACTGATACCCGAATGAGTTCTTGCTGGGCGCGTTACCGCGGGTAGTGGCCAGTCGTCAGTGTCAGAGTTCTCGTACTTGACTGATGATTCGGTCGACTCATGGTGCAAATCCCACTCCTCATGTTCCCAGATGGGGTCGGAGTATGTCGATGAAGAACCCGATGGTTCGTCGATGTATATCGACGAGAACGACGTTGTTGCTGATGTTCGTCTCGGCGCGTACGGGCGCGGGTGCATCATCTTCTCCATCTGCGCATCGAACATGTGACTTGACGCAGTATCTCGCTGATGCAGTCGTGGCAAGCTACGACGAAGCGACAACATGCGCGCTGGGTTCCGTGGAGGTGGTGTTCGCTTCTCGAGATCCAGCATCTCGTAGCAGGCTTTGCCAATCCAGAGCATCTGCTCGTGCTCGCGAAGGTAGCGCTCGCCACCGAAGGACTTTTGGACAATGTTGCGAGCCATCATCCCCAGCTTTCGTCGATGTTCAGACTTTTCGTACATCCGGCGCGTGATGATCTCGACGTCTTTTGATGTGGGCTTGTGAGGCAAGATTGGTGCCGCTACCCCAGGGCCATCATCGGCATATTGAGCCCACTCATCCAGCATAGCCAGAAGGTTGATCTGCGCTCGTGCCAGACCGTATGCATCATTGGGTGCCACAACTTCGCTGTAGCGTTTACCGTCATCAGGGTCAGTGAGCACTCGCAGCGACGCGCCAACATCAGTGCACACCACTGGTGCTCCAGTAAGCGCCGCTTCTCCGAGCGCAAGCGGTAGTCCTTCCGAAACGGAGGAGTTAAGGAATAGCCAAGTGTTCGCAAGGACCATTGCTGGATCTGCAGTGCCGCGCATCGCTACGTTTTGTCCAAGACCTTTGCATGCCAAGATTTCTTGACATTCGGAGGAGTAGACGGGTGATTTGTTGAGAGCGCCGTAGATATCGAGCTTGTAGTCCTTGAAACCCCATTCGTTGGTGATGATGTCCGCCGCAAGTAGAGCTGTCTTAATGTCTTTCGCAAACCAGACATGGGACAGCATGGTTACTGTCGGCGTCTTCGTCTTGATCTCGGTCACCGGAGAGAATTTGGTCATGTCGGTGATGCCGTTGACGATAGGATCGACTTTCCGACGAAACACGTTGCGGTGGGTGAGTTGACCCTTTGCGCTACCGATCTCCACCTCCCAGCCGGGGTTGAAGAAGTCTAGCATATCAAGTTAGTCACTTGGATTGGATAAAAGATGCGATGTACCTACCTGCACAGGGAAGAATCTGATCGGCGTGGTGCAAGATGAGACAAGATGTCAACTTCATTAGACCCAGTAGTGAGTTTCGGATGAAGGGCGGTAGAGTACACATCGCGGACGAGAGGTAGAGATTAGTCTCACGCCAGGAGATCGCATGATCCCAGATTTGAAGTGTGCAGTTGCGCTTCAGCTTGCAAACGATCCCGTAGGATGCTGAGACGCTGTGGTGCGAGGCTTGGAAGACGTGGGGTATCTTTTCGGGGATGGGGATCGAGAAAATGAATAGATCTACTCAAGTTAGCTTCGTCACGATTAACAAGAGGATATTACTTGCATCGGAACCACAGCTCTAGCGCCGTATCGAAGTGATTGAGCGTGGGAAGCTCAGTACGGAACCATTCTGAGGGCGGTTGCGCGTTCGGCATGTCTTCATCGAGCCACAGTCTCCTCCATGTATCTTTGACCACATCGCTTGTCCAGACCTCTTTCCAGTGGCGCGAATCCTGGAAGTATGTGTTCAGATTAACCAAAGCCCGCGTCGCTTGCTTGACGTCTGCTGATGTCATCGTGGTAGCCCGTGCGCCGCGAACGAGAGCAGTCAAGGTAGGAATGAAGTTCGTTTCGATGTCGGATATCGTTGCTGCTTTGACCAGATGGTCGACCTCGCTGTCCAGCTTGTTGGTGAACATCCCATGGTTTGGATGCATGAAGTCCAATCCCCATAATGGTATTACCTTGAGTGACTCAACGTTCTCTTCGGTCTGGTGCTTTGGCAAGCCAAAGTCATTGGCTGATTCGACGACCATGTGCCATTTGATGGTGCGTAAGTTATTGATGAGATCCCGACGACATGCGGAAACTCCACCGCCTTC